TATTTAAATGTCCCCCCCCACACCCCCCCGAGCCCCAAATAAATGTCTTGTTGTGTCGATGGCTATGTGACTCTTTTCCATCCAATGTGCCTCAGACCGAAGAGACTTGATCCGCTCTTCGTGGCGTAAATAAATGCCCCCAAATTCTTACGTGACGACCTGTGTCCATATTTAAATGCCCGCTCCCCCCATTCTCCCCCCCAAATTGTTTTTGTTCCATCGGATGTACCTCACACCGACTCGACACCTGATGGTCTCTTTAATTGACTTCATAAAACGACCTACAATCGACTACATGCCGAAATGTGTCCATGTTTCAAAGACTGCCCCACAATAAACGCCTTGTTGTGAAGACAACTATGTGACATATCCCCCCCCCCACCAGACCCCCAACCTTCACTTTTAAGTAAATGAATGGCCCACAAAAAAAAAAGTTAAAGTAGCTTTAAGATACAAGCGAGCTAAATATGATCACAACAGGTTTGCTTGATTTCCGAAGGAGGGAAAAGATTCATGCGCAGATGTGCTGGATATTGTGCCGCCAGTCCAGCCGCGTCCGGGAAAAGGCAGTCGAGTGTCTACTCCTTGCTTCACCGCTCATCTTCCTCTTCTTCTTCTTCTTCTTGATGGAGGTAGCGTACAAGCCATCTTGCTTCTGTTCATTTCAGGGTTGTGGGTTCAAGGCCCGTAATTGGTATTGCCCCCATGGGTTTTATTGTTAAATGAAGTCGGTTTAACTGCGGTCAGTGTGGTCGGTGGCTTTTATTTATATTTTAGCCATGTTGAACTGAGCAGGGGCAGCGCCGTGGGGCCATGGGTACCACCTTTGCCTCACCGTTGCGGGTTTCCGGGTTCGACGCTGGGTTGTGGCTTTCCTGTTTGGACTTTGCATGATCTTGCCATGCTGACGTGGGCAACCAGTCCTTATTGTGTCATGCCATCGGCTGGTGGCCAGTCTGTTGTTTGTCTCGATGTGCCATGCGATTAGCATAAAAACTTTACACTTACAAGTTTTTGTTGGACCAAACCGCCAGGACAGAGACCTCCTGTATGTCTCGCGTTCCCATGTCACGCAAACTCTGATGTCCTGTTTCGTGGTTATCATCATGTGGCATCACGAGTATTCATATCGGGTGGCAAAGAAAAAGTAAAACACAAACGACTTGAAAACTTAACGAAGCCAATTTAACAAGACATTTTCGACTCTTTTGTTGTCGTTGCTTTCCAGCCGGGACAGAGACGCCGATCCCACTTTCTCATGTCGTTCCAATTTCCGTCTCTATGGCTATCGTCACCCGGAGGAGCTCGCTAGCGTTCCCTCCGCCTGGGGTGTCAGTGTGCCGTCTCATTGTGTCTTTCAGCGTTCATTTCCTGGTAAAAAGCCAGCCGGGCGCCATCCCTCTCCTAGTGTGTCGGCAAGAGATAAAGCTTTGTCATGTTGCCTTCCGCCTGCAGACATTTTTTTTTTTTTTTTTTTTTTGACCAGGACGTGACCTTGACTCTCTTAAAGTGCTTTTAAGTGCTTTGTTATTTTTTTTCTCAAGACACTGGAGAAAGGATCCCTTGCGGACTTTTACTGCATTCCCCAAGATGGTCCTAGACTAGTACCATAATAGACCTGGACTAGGCCTAGACTGGCTCTATTGTTGTCCAGACTGGTTCCAGACTTGGACGATATTCGTTTGTGAGACAGACTTGAGCAAGACTAGACTCAGACTAGTCCCATACCTGACCCGACTAGAAAATTGGACTGCCGTGGAATTACAGAAGAACCTGATTAGATTAGATGTACACAGGCTGCTAATTAGCGTCGCTTGATGTTCGGCAAGTGTGCGGAGACTTTCGTCTTTTGTGCGTCGTCCTGTAAGAAGCTCGACTCTTTGACCAATTTCAGTGATTAACCAAACACCCGTTCTGTAATGAAAGGCGCTGATTATTCCTCCCCTGCCTGCGCCGCCTTTCTCTTATCAATAAAAAGCGCTGGCGTCTCTCATCAAGGAGGAGAAATCCATGGAAAGCTGATGTGCTGACACAAAGCGACTGCTGAAGCCCAGCAAATCTGCCCGCTTAATTGATTATTGGCGCCGGAAGCGGGTATCTGCGAGGTGCAGGAGGCCCCGGGGGAAATAATGGAAAACAGATAAGATGAAATGCGGGAGAATTGCCGTCGCCGCAACCGCCCGTTTGTATTAACGCCTGGCCCGTTTCCTCTTGGCGTGCCAACAAAGCTCTTCAAAATTGCCCGAATCGAAACGTAAACATGATGTAATCGGAAAAAGTGTCGGAGAGACTTTTTGATTTCCAAAGTGACTCCGTCGCGTGGCTCCAGTTCAAAGTGTTCCCGCCGGACAACTTTTCACGGCTTGACTTTGACTTTCAAGCGTTTCACGCGGACGTTTAATTCCGCGCCCTTGTCTTCAGCAGCACTCCTGTGCTGCGGCGGATCCAAATGGCTCATTGTAAAGTTTAATCAAAAGAATAGTTCTTTATTTTTCGCGAACCAAACAACCAAGGAAGTAACTAACTAATCAAGAAATTAACTCACCAACAAGTTCACGAAGTTATGAACCAATTAGGGAACCAACTACAAAGTAACCAACCAACAAAACTATCAAACATAGTGGTTCTCAAATGGGGGAACGTCAGATTTTCAAATAGATGTTAAAAGTAGCATGCATGCAAAAATCCCTGAAAAAGAATTACATGATGTAGATTTTTCATAAAAATGTGAGTTTATCAAATTATTTTGGATTCAGTGGGCGATTTAATTTCATGATCCTAAAAACCCAGACTCTGCCCAATACCAGAATTGTTCGACCCAACCTGTCATATGTCACCTAGCATCACCTGTAAATCACATAAAAATGTTTAAAATTACGGAAATTATTTCTGAGAAGGGGTCTTTACAATGATCCGAAAGGAAGACAATTTGTTTTATGTGCACAAATCTTTATTTGTATTATTTGACATTCAAGGGCCATAAGGGTGAATCGCTTTTTGTTTGACAATTTCATGGCTTGCCGGTTCGAATTGTTGTCACTAATGTTTGACTGCGTGTCCCTGGAATGCATCGCACGATGTCACTGTGATATGTTTACTCGTCGAGTTGTTTCCCACAGAGAAGCAGCCAATGAAAGACCATTTTGTTGATGTTGCTGTTTTGCGGACGAGCTGCAGGCTGAGATTGTCCTTCGCCTTCCTCACGGATCACCTTTTCATGCTTCGCTTGTGTGTGCGTGTGTGTGTGTGTGTGTGTGTGTGTGTGTGTGTGTGTGTGTGTGTGTGTGTGTCACTGTCACTGTATCAGGGTGTGACAACGCATTCAAAGGTAGCCTGCAAGCAGGGGTATACAAGTATTCCGCTTATTTTAGTCAGGTAATTGAAAGTTGAGAAAAAGACGGGCGACACAAGGCCATCTCTGCTTAACAACACGGGGGATGGGGGGGGGGGTGTCGGGCGCTGGCAGAAAGCTGAGAAAAATATGCCTATATATCTCAGCTGAATTACTGTAATGCACTTTACTTTGGAGTCAGCCAATCCTCCATCAAGCGTCTCCAGCTGGTCCAAAATACTGCTGCTCGCCTCTTGACTGGTACTCGTAAGAGGGAGCACATATCTCCTACTTTCGCATCCCTTCGCTGGCTCCCTATACATTTTCAAAACTTGCATGTACCTTTTAATATGAATGATGACTTCACAGATGTGTAAGTTACTCAAGCCAACAGGTCCCCAGACCATCATAGATGGTGGCTTTTGTACTTTGGGGTGTTAGTGATCTATTGCCTTTCGCTTTGCCAAACAAATGAGCAAAGCAAGGGACCAAATAGTAAGTGACATAGTAATAACGCAACCAAGAAATCTTAAGACCCAACCGTGCAACTAAAGGTCAAGCCCTCACCTCACATTCAATGGACAGGAGTGTGGAAACGTCAATGGCTGTGAATGCCGAGCTCAGAAGCGATGATGTGGCCTTTGTGCTCCACTTGAAACATGCACGCGCGCACGCACACGCACGCACGCACACACACGCTGGATGTGCACAGTGTTCTGAGAAAATGGCGACACCAACATCCTAGCCGGTGTGACCGCCGGTATGTTGCGACCGTTAAAAGACACTTTTGTCCATTTGGCAGGCTGGATTGCTGCCACTAAAGTGAACACACACACACATAAGCACGCGCGCACACACACACACACACACACACACGCACACACACACACACACACGGTTAATGCATCCTGGGAATTTATAGCTACTCCCTGTTCCAGGAATATAAGAGGGATGTGCAGTCTTGTCAGTCAGCTCGGTTTCTGGGTAGGAGGAAAGAAGACGGTTGCCATGGCAACACCTGGGCATCATCGGCCGCCACGCGACAGCAGTTATGCACATAAGCCGCATAATCCACAGGAGCCGTGTGTTGGGTTGTTTCCTTCATGGGGTGCACCAAAGGACATGCCCACTGATTGGCAGGAAAGAGAAGTTATGATTGTGATAATTCTGGAGGCTGTTGATGAACAGGAAATGGGAAATCGTTCAATTAGTCTAAAAATGATTGTCCATTTGTTAAAAACAAAATATCTTTGTTTATTGTTACAAAATTATCCGAATTTTGAGAGGCAACTCGCTAGCCAAGAAACCAACTAATGACCCAAGTGACCAACCAACCAAACATGGAAACCAACCAAGTAAATAACCAAGTAAACTAATCAACAGGGTAAATAAATAACACTGTTAAGTCAAATGGGAACTAACTCACCAACTAAACAAACTAACCAATCAAATAATTAATGATATGACCAAAATGACCAACGAGCCCTGGAACTAAATGCATGAAAAAATGAATTTGAGAAAAGAATAAATGCATTCTAATGAACCTCATGTTAGGGATAAAAAGGACTCAATTCATGCAACAAATATTACAAGCCACTTGAAAATCCAAATGCTCTGTGGATCAGATGAAAGAATAGCGTGGGCCCTTTGTTTCCAACATTTGTCGCAGGTGAGCTGACCATGAGGCTGCTTTGGAAGTCCCTGGACAAGATGAGGTGTCTGAGGAAGCGCTCGGCCATCCCCTTCCTCGGCTTCCTCGTCACATTCCTCCTCTTCCTCAACCTTTACATTGAAGACGGATATGTGATGGTTCGTAATTCCAGTATTACCCTCTATGGATGTGTGTGTGTGTGTGTGTGCGTGTGTGTGGCTGTTTGATAGCGTCGAATGCTCCACCTTGTCTTCCAGGAAGAAGATAAGAGGCAGCTTCGGGAGACGTCGGCCCACCCCCCGAGTGCAGAGCGATACGTGCACACCTTCCGAGACCTTAGTAACTTTTCGGGATCCATCAACGTCACATACCGCTATCTGGCTGGGACGCCACTCAACCGCAAGAGTAGGTCCAAATGTTTTCCAAAAACATTTTCACATCAGGATTTCAAGTCAAGTGTCATGACACAACCGATTTTTTTTTTCATGAAATAAAATGTTCAAAAGTTCGTTTAGCTTACTGTCCAGTCGAGCTCTTCAGAAATCTTCATAATACATCAAAACATGATTGGCATGTGTTGTTCATCAACTGGTCGTCTGGTGTCGGCCCAGATTTACCTTCCTGTCTGAGCTAGCTCTTCAGGAAAAAAATCAACCGCAAGAGTAGGTCCAAATGTTTTCCAAAAAGATTTTCACATCAGGATTTCAAGTGTCATGACTCAACCGATGTTTTTTTTCATGAAATAAAATGATCAAAAGTTCGTTTAGCTTACTGTCCAGTCTAGCTCTTCAGAAAGCTTCATAATACATCAAAACATGATTGGCATGTGTTGTTCATCGACTGGTCGTCTGGTGTAGGCCCGGATTTATCTTCCTGTCTGAGCTAGCTCTTCAGAAAAAAGAAAAAAAAAGGACCAGGTTTACCTGCGGTGGATTGACGCGAAATGGAGAAGTGTGCTGTGGTCTGACGAGTCCAACTTGTCAGAAATCTCCACTGTGAAAGCATCAATACACAATTAGCATAACTTGTTCTTTGTCATCATCAGAGTACCTGACCATCGGGCTGTCGTCGGTGAAGAGGAAGCGCGGGAACTACCTCCTGGAGACCATCAAGTCCATCTTTGACCAGTCCAGCTACGAGGAGCTGAATGAAATCGTGGTGGTGGTCCACCTGGCCGACTTTGACTCGCTGTGGTGTGACAACTTGCTGCGGGAAATCAGCCGCAAGTTCTCGCACCACATCATCGCCGGCCGCCTGCTGGTGATTCAGGCCCCCGAGGAGTACTACCCGTCCCTGGACGGCCTGAAGAGAAACTACAACGACCCCGAGGACCGGGTGCGCTTCCGCTCCAAGCAGAACGTGGACTACGCCTTCCTGCTCAACTTCTGCACCAACCTCTCCGACTTCTACATGATGCTGGAGGACGACGTGCGCTGCGCTCGTAACTTCCTGACGGCGCTGAAGAAGGTGATCGCCTCCCGCGAGGGATCCTACTGGGTGATGTTGGAGTTCTCCAAGCTGGGCTACATCGGGAAGCTGTACCACGCGCGGGACCTGCCGCGCCTGGCGCACTTCCTGCTCATGTTCTACCAAGAGATGCCGTGCGACTGGCTGCTCATCCACTTCCGCGGCCTGCTGGCCCAGAAGGACGTGATTCGCTTCAAGCCGTCGCTCTTCCAACACATGGGCTACTACTCGTCCTACCGGGGCGCCGAGAACAAGCTGAAGGACGACGACTTCGAGGAAGACGCGGTGGACATTCCCGACAACCCGCCGGCCCGGCTCTACACCAACATCGATGTCTTCGAGAGCTACGATGCCGCCAAGGCCTACAGCGCCGTGGACGAGTACTTCTGGGGCAAGCCGCCGTCCACCGGCGACTTCTTCGTGGTGGTCTTCAACAAATCGGCCAAGATCAGCAGGATCAAGATCGCCACGGGCTCCGACGACAGACAGAACGACATCCTGCACCGCGGAGCTCTGGAAGTCGGCGAAAAACTGGTGGGCACCAAGAAGGGAAAGCAGTGTTCTTCATATATCACCTTGGGGGAGTTTAAGAACGGCAACGTTGAGGTCCGGGACGTGGACCACAAGATCAGCTTTGACGTGGAGTGCGTGCGTATCGTAGTGACGGCCACTCAAAAGGAGTGGCTCATCATCAGAAGTATAAGTTTATGGACGACACCTCCGCCCAGCCAATGAGGAGGTCGTGCGGACTCTTAGTACATCGCCGGCAACAATTTCTATTTTAAATGTACATATTTCCACTCCGACGTAAGCGTTTTGTACGTATCTATTGATCTGGATTGCTAAATGTTTTTTTTTTTTATATACCAGCAATTCTTGGATCCTCCTCCTGGTCCTTGTGTTTGTTGTAAACGTGACGGTAACGTAGAGCAGAAAGGCGAGCGCAAAGCCATCGTGGTGTGGTTTCAAAATTGTGATTGATACCCTTTCGTGAGGCCCACAAAGACCATCGCCATCAATCAGTGTTAGGAAGCGGTACAGTGGTTTGTTTGACTTACAAAACCAGTTGGCAGAGGCTAACATTAGCGGTCTTTATCTTTACTCTGTGTCCCCTCCGGTAAAACAAACAAAAAAAAAAAAACCTCACAAAAAAAAAAATGCACATGTGAGATTCAAGTCAGTCTATTGTTCCCAAAAAGCGACACTGGGCGAAATTGATTCGCGTGAACGAAAACAGGAAGTATTTGGGAATGTAAACTTTACAAATGTTGAACATTGTTAAAAGCTGTTGAATGTAAGATTGTTTTTGTTTTGGGTTTTTTTTTTCACAAAAGAAAAGCCTGGTTTAACAATCGACACTCCAAATAAAGGTTGACCACAAATGTTGAACATTGTTAAAAGCTGTTGAATGTAAGATTGTTTTTGTTTTGGGTTTTTTTTTCACAAAAGAAAAGCCTGTTTTAACAATCGATACTCCAAAAAAAGGTTGACCGTTGCACGTGGCCCATCAAGGATATCTGCTTCCGACGAGAGCTAATTTAAACCAATTCCTGAGTCAGAGCTCATCAAAAGTACAAGGCCTGGAATCCACCAAAAAATGTCAACTTCAAATCAAAATGCTTAGCTTCCCGTAGAATTTCAAACATGAGCCCTTGAGGCTTTTTCGTTCATCCTCTCATGAGAGACGTGTACACCCACCCAATTTTCCTGTCTAGGGGGATGGGAAGTGGGGGGGGGGGCTACGTTTTTCAGCTTTCATGCCCATTTTATGTATTTATTTATTGGAATGAATCCCAAAATAGATGCTTCAACTTACTACTCGGTTTCAATTATGGGTCCTAAAGTTTTTTTTCATGCATTCTGTTCCAAATGTCATGTCCACATCACATGTAGGCCCAAATTAATTCATGTCATGATTGGTGAAACTGGTGGCAGGAGCTCATTTTTTTGTTGGGTTTTTTTTTTTTTTGGGTTACTTTCCAGACCTCTTATAAGGCATTTGCTCCAAAATGGCGGCTTCAAATCAACATGGCTGACTTCCTGCCAACTGGTGTAGGGTCGGATGATTTGAATAAATCATTATCAATAAATTAATAAATTTTAAATCAATAAAAAAAATGAGCAAAATCACTAAGTCATCATATTCATTTTCAATTCTTTTCATTTTCTCCAGATAGACTCCGAAAATACATTTACACCAAAACACAGTGGTACCTCAACTTACGACTGTCACTTCATACAAAATTTTCAAGTTACGAAATGCCTCAACAGGAAAATATTGCCTCTTGTTACGAAATAAATTTCAAGATACGAAAGGTAAAAATACAGTATGGTCTGCTAGTCGTAGCTCCGAGTTTCCTCAATGCAACTTACTTACAGCTGCTCTGCCATTGGCTATTACCGAGCATCATCACCAAGCAAAAACCACTTCTCAGAGAGAACATGGACGACAAAGGGCAATAAACGATGAGGACGCAGTTAAAAGTGAAATGACCATCATTTTTATTCTTTGTTCGTTGTTTTTTACATGATAACATTCATTTGTTACATATTTTGAAGCATTTTTATGCTTTAAGAAACATTTATGTCTGAATTTTGGGGCGGCTTGAAACGAATTAGGGCATTTACATGGAAAACGCGTCTCGACTTACAAAATTTTCGAGTTAAGAAATTTCATAACAGAACTAATTGATTTCGTAAGTAGAGGTACCACTGTATACACACGTGCAAAAATCTGTGAGTTTCTGAGAATTTTGAGACCCCCCCCCAAAAAGGAAATCAACATTTTGTTGAATTTTTGTCCAAGGTATTACATTTAACCAAAGCATCTCCGTACTACATCTTATAATAAAAGGATGAGGGTGTAATAGTTATTAGGAAGTGCAGTACAACAGGCTGTCTTTGAGAACAATTACTTAAGGTAATTGTGTCTTTCGCAGCCTTTCAAGACGAATAACAAGGCGGCCAAGTGTCGCAGTGGGATTCCCGGCAGGCCTTGTCCCCGTTTGGACCTTAATGAGCTCCCTTACCGCTAAGCCACCTGGAGGAGCGCCATCTTGAGGTGCTTGGCACTTTGGATATTCACTTTCAAGGCGTTTTTCCTCCCTTGTGTCACCACGTCTGCTTCGTGTTGTGTCAAAGCGGCTGACAGGAGAACATTGTTTGTTTGGGGTTTTTTTTTTTTTTTTAGACTGGAGATGAGATTGCTCAGTGAAGAATGAGCCAGCAGTGCTGCTATTTTCTTCTTTTTTCCACCCCCCATATTATCTCAGCAGCACAATTTTCCCGCAGTAAATGCGCTCTCTTATGACAAAACAGACGCTCAAAAATGCCAATTCAAAGCAAAATAGCAGACTTGCCGTGTCTTTTCAAGTCAGGCTTCTTGTGTGTCGACTCGTGACAGACATGAATACCAAATTTTATGTCGCTGAGTGAAACTAGCTTGAGAGCTTGAATTCTTGAAAATATTCTGGGCTGCACAACGGAGCCAAGAGCGAGCCATCAAACTTTTCAAACATAATGATGAAACAAAAATTTCAATTGTCAAGTGTCATCCATCCCTCACAGTGGTCTCCAACGTGCTGCCTGCCCCCAAGGAGCACATGGGAAGGCCGCGGGCCTCTTCCAAAAATAGCTCACCAGCGCATTGTGATTTTCTAGGAATGTTCTAAATAGATTTACAAACATGGACTGTGACAAATCCGTCATCCATCCCTCACAGTGGTCTCCAACGTGCTGCCCGCGAGCACCGCATTGTCCCCAAGGAGCACATGGGAAGCCCGTGGGCCTCTTCCAAAAATAGCTCACCAGCGCATGAGACATTGTGATTTTCTAGGAATGTTCGAAAAAGATTTAGAAACATGGATTGTGACAAATCCTAGTCTAATAAACGCTCTTCAAATTTTGTATCAAACGGACTAAATCTCAATGACTTTGAAGGCCCCCCGGAAACCCTAAAATTGCCATTTCAAAACAAAATCACTGAGGTTCTTCCTTTGTAATTTTTTGAAACTTTTTTGTGGGTCTACTCATGATCGACATGCCTGGCAAAATTCATGCTGCGAAATGAAAATGACTCAAGGGGCTGAATCTTACAAAAATTCCAGGTTGCACTCTTCATCGTGATAAAATTTCGCTGACACACAATGACAAAAACTCAATTGCAATTTAGTGTTGCCCATGTCACGAGTTTACGTACTTCATATGTCGTATGAGACAAAATGTCTTATTTCAAAACAAAATCACTGAGGTTCTTCCTTTGTACTTTTTTGAAACTTTTTTTGTGGGTCTACTCATGATAGACATGCCTGGCAAAATTCATGTTGTGAAATGAAAATGACTCAAGCAGCTGAATCTTACAAAAATTCCAGGGTACACTCTTCGTCGTGATAAAATTTCGCTGACACACAATGGCAAAAACTCAATTGCAATTTAGTGATGCCCTTGTCACCAGTTTACGTACTTCACATGTCGTATGAGACAAAATGTCTCGGACCCCTGGAAATTACCCTAAAATGGCAACTTAAAAACAAAAATGGATGACTTTCTGTGTCTTTTGAGGCATGGCTACGAGACATTTTTGTGGGTCTATTCATGACAGACATGCCCACCAAAATGTCACGTTGCTGAGTGATCGTGACTTTCGGGGCTGAATCAGATTCTTTTCGGGTGCCCGACCAAAGCAATGGTGGCTTGTTTGTTTTTGAACGACCCTTACAAATGACTAAAAATCTACCTCAAAATGGCCAAGTGGTGCAAACCAAAATGGCAGACTGTGTCTTTTCGAGCATGGCTTTTTAAGCCTTTTTTGTGGGTCTACTCATGGTAGACCTGCTTAAAAATGAATAAATTTACTTTTCAACCTCACAATTGTACTCACCGCAACATGAAAAAGTTGTTGTCACACTGCTAAGTGAGACTTGAGGCTCTGAATTAAAAAATAAATACAATTCTAAAATGTGTTTAGCGTCAGCCACCTGTCTAGTATAAATGCTTCAAATTTGGTAGCAATCCCACAAAATCTCTGCGACCATCTTTGTCGGGCCCCTGGAAAAAGGCCAAAATGACCCACGCCTGACGTTAGCTTAGGCGGCAGTCTGGAGTCAAGATGTCGGTCATGTGACGCATGTAACACGTGCATGAAGTGATGGTGAAACCTTTTTCCTGGACGACGACATCATATCATTCCTTGTCTTTCCTTCTGTTCTTCTCGTTGCTGCTGTACTGTAAGATGACGCATATATTTTTGTACTGCGATGCTACCCACATGTTGTATGACGATACCGTGTTGCAAAAAGGAGACGGATTAAATCCACGAATGCCTACCGTGCGTTTGCGTTGCTTGACTACACACTTTTGACATAAAAGTGGAACAGTACGCAAACCCCCCCCCCCCCCCCCCCCAAAAAAATCAGTTTGTGACATTTGCAGTTGGTTGAAGCATCCTGAGACTAGCGTTTAGCCGCCAGCTAAGAACATACATTATTCATTTCAATATTCGTAATATGCTTCTTTTTTTTTTTCCCCCTCTCCTGCTCAAGAGCATCCATAATGAACGCTGGAGGGGACACACTCTGGCTCTTTGTTTTGATTTACATGAGGGACACACACATGAGATTTACCGTAATACCTTCATAACTATACCGTCTACATCTTACTTGTATAGGTAGGGCATCCGGAAAGTATTCACAGTGCAACATTCTTCTTCCAAAACTGTACAATTCATTCCCTCCTCATCATAATTCGACACACAACACTGATTCACGACAATTTGGGAAAAAAAACGTTTTTTTTAATTTTTGCAAAATTTATGAAAAATAAATGAGGAAATTATATTATTGTCCGACAATACACTCTGAAAATGTTCGAGTTGAGTTGAGATTGTGCATCGCTTTTGGCACGTTTTCTTCTGTTACCGGTATTCCAAAATTGAACACATTCATTTTTCCCCCCGTCAAAATTCAACACAAAACACTCCAAAATAAAACATGACTTTTTCCCCCATTTTGTTAAAATTTAAAAAGAGCAAAATATCATGAATATGCAGTGCATCTGGAAACTATTCACAGTGATCCGCTCTTATTGCGAAATTAATTCCATTGTGCTCTCTAAATTCTACAAATAAACCCATAAAATAAATTCAGATTTTTTGGGGGGCAAATTGATTTTGAAAAAAAAAAAAAAAAAAAGGAAATAACATCATGCTCAGAAGAGTGCAACCACAAATGATTCACGTTCCACCATTTCCTTTCACTTTTTTTACAGCCTGCTTCCAAAATGGAAAAAAATTTAACTTCAAAATTGTATTCAGAACACCGCTTGTCATGTTCTGTCTTGATTGCGTTTCAGCTTCAGCTGGAGTGGAGGGCGTTTCCCTCCAGCAGGCACACCTGTGCCGCGTTTTTCAATCAAGCCTTGACATGTATTTAAGGACTGCCAAGGTGCCTGGCCCTTGTCGAATTATTGACCTTGCTCACTGTTGTGACTCTCATGATGTCATTGTTTTCGTGTGATTGGACTTTTGATATTTCATGTGTGCATTCTCAGTGTTCTATTGAACCTCACCTTTGCAAGTGCTTTTTGTGTCATGTATTGTTTTACCTGGCTCCTTGTGACCAGTGATTTTGGTTTATACTTTGTCGGTGCGATTTTTTTTTTTTTTTTTTTTGCGAAATATTTTTGCGATCGCACATTGTCTGAGCCTGCATTTTTGGACTCCAAAAACACAATTCGGTTCGGTCTGAACCTGACACCGCTTAATGACAACGTTAAAAAGTCTCCAAAAAAATTTGGCCTAATTTTTGAACAATAAAAATCTAACAAACATGTATGCACATTAGATTCACAGAGCTTCACTTTTAAGACTTTTATGATTTTGAGGGGAAAACAATAAGTTGCATCCATTTTGGAATAAGGCTGTAACAAAATTTGGAAGAAAATGCAGCGGTGGGAAAACAAATACTTTCCAGAACTTTTTTTATCCATGGTGTTTCATTTCACAACGGTGATAAATGTTACTTGAAGCTTCCGGGTTTATGATCCTGTCAAAAGGTGTTACCGGAAGACAGAATGACATTTTAACTGCAGTTAGGCGTTGACACCAAGCAAAATGTCAGAACCAAACCCCGCCGGGTGCCGTTTAGTCCCGTGTCGTGGCAGGGCTGATGTACCCGTAAAAAGTTAACAAATGGTTCTTCATTATTTGCAGAAATTCCGAGTTAATTAAATCTGTTTTAATCCACGTGATCTATCCAGCCCAACATTTTCCGAGAATCATAATCCTACCAGAAGGAAGCATTATTTGGAGAATTAAATGGTATTTTCTGCGAAAGAAAAATTATTTTGAGTCAAGTCATTTTTAGGAGAATAAAGTCATATTCACCCACCCATCCATTTTCTATTTGTTTTATTCTCACGAGGGTCACGGGTGTGCTGGAGCCTATCCCAGCTGTCTTCGGGCAGTCGGCAGCCAATTGCAGGGCACACATACACGGACAACTATTTGCGCTCACAGTAACACCTTGGGAGAATTTAGAGTGTTCAATTAAACGCCCATGCATGTTTTTGGAATGTGGGAGGAAACCGGAGTACCCAGAGAAAACCCACGCTGGCACGGGAAGAACATGCATATTCCACACAGGAAGGCCGGAGCCCGGATTTGAACCCACGACCTCCTTACAGTGAGGCGGATATGCTCACCAGTCGTCCTCCGTGCCACCCTAAAGTCATATTTACACGGGGAAAAAAAAAAAAAATCTCTTTGTCTCCTCTGCATTCCTGTCACGTAACATGATCTGTTCCCGATCTCCGGAGACTCGGCGTTGCATCCAAACATTTTCCATTTGCTGCTCATGTTTTGCGTGCGCAGCGTTTGTCGTGACAGCTGCCTGCCTTCAGACGGTCAACCTGCTTGGAGACGCACTTGAAAGCAGATGAGGCACCTCGGAGACCACCGCCGCGAGACTTTGATAATTGTCATCGTTACCAGCTGGACGTTCCCCACCATCCGACCCCCCTTCGGCGAAAACACATACACTGGCGATATTGAAACCCAAAAGGGAGAGACCAGAGGGGCAGTGTAAGCGGGGGTGTCGCGACACGTTGTTTTGCGACACGAAGCATTTGGCAGCACTTAAAAGCATCGTTCGCCGAAGGGACCAGCCTTTCGGAGTCGAACGCCCCCGAGGAGCCTTCTGTTTGTCTGTCTCAACTCCTCCTGTTTCGTAAACGCAAGAACATTATGTCCCACTGGTGCGGGAAAACAGCAAGCGCACCTGGCTGAATCAATGCCCGATTTAGACCTCCACCAAGGAAGATGATGTTGATATCTTCAAAAAAAATTCAGTCTTTCCGGTGCGATCCCGTATGGAGAATCATATCCTTACCAGAAGGACGGATTATTACGGGAATTAAGTGGGATTTTTGTCACATGAGGAGCGGAATTAGGACCCAGGAGCAGACGTGACACCGAAGTTGACAACTAAAAGTCTTTTATCCATGAAAATACAAAGTAACTACAGAGTGCAAGGCTGGATGCAGAAGACACGGAAGAGATGACATTCTGGTAGAAAGCTCGACGGCCTGACATCCAAATTTATACCTTGGAAGAGATCACGCCTATCTGACATAACAAAGGTAACACAATAGAAGCCCAGAGCAACTGCACATCAAGGAACAACCAGACGCAACAGTCAAGATTCTGATGATATCTTCCAAAGAAATTTAACTCTTTCCAGTGAGATTCCTTATGGAGAGTCAGATCCTTACCAGAAAAAACGGATTATTATGAGAATTGAGCAGGATTTTCTTGATAAAAGAAAAATGACAATAAAAGAACTTTTTTTTTTGTTGTTTTTTTTTTCGTTGACCTGTTAGCTAGCGCTGACCTGTTAGCTTGCGCTCCAAGATATATATATATATATATATATATATATATGGCCTTGGCGGAGGTCTCCGCTGCCAGGTGCCACATGGAACGCCTCCCTCCTCCACTTTGACAAACTTTGAATGCTCCACGCGCTTCTTTCTCATCTTTCATCCCACATTTGGAACACGTTTCCTTTTGCAGTCTGCCAAGCCGACACAACAGATGGTTGCTGTGACAATTCCATAAGGGAAAGAAACGACTAATACTCCAAAATAACGTGTAAAACTGATTGGATGACGGCTGTCACGTGACATGATCGTTTTTTGGCTACAAAGACAACCTTTTTTTTTAAATACTGAAGCGTCCTCATTCATGGAAGCCACAAACATGTTAGGCCCACTGTAAATCACAATTACGGGGGTGTTTATTTCAGTAAGATCTTTATTGTGAATTTTACCTAATTTGCCCAAAATTGAGGTATTTATTTGAGCGAGGCATTTATTTTTACTAAGCCCACTCCCCAAGCATTTTTTTGGAGGGAGGGGGGGAACAACTTGGCCCGTTATCCACCCAAATTTCATTCCTATGCGCACCAACACACAAAAATGTACTAGTCCGATATCCAGTCGCGATTGTCGGTGCACATGTAACAGTGTGTGTGCTACATGAGTAAAAAGAGGCATTTGTTGGAGGCTTGCTATTGGCTGCTTCTTTCTCAGTCGGCTTTGACTGAAATGCCTCAGCGGGGGGCAGATGTCATCCCCACAAGCGGGAGCATCAAAAGGCGAAGGAAGGAAGGAAGGCCTGGTGGGCTTTGGCCTCCTGTGTGCCGGCAGAACCATGGCAACCGCGACAATTGATTGTCCCGCAATCTCCTGTGGGGCCGAGCTGGCTGCTGCTCTTTTTATTATTTTTATATTCCTGTTTTTTTTTTTTGTTTGTTTTTTTGTAACCACATACAGTAGCTGGCCGAGTGTCACGGAGAAAATACGTCCTCGTTTGGTTACTCTTGACTTTAAAGGACAAGAGAGGGAGACACTTTGGATCGGTTGGA